ATCACCGGCTTGTAGACAAGAATAATGCCAACGCCAAAGCAAGAATAACAGGATGAAAAGAAGGAAAATAGTGTATAACCGGAATAACAAATTTGTAGGGTGTTTCGCCGTGCACTTTTTGATAATTTTGTGCTAGTTTGTCGTTCATAATAAACAATTCTCCTCGTCCGACACTGTCTTGTGGATTTTTAATACTAGTTTGTCATTTATTATACAGGTTTATTGATGAAACTCGTGCGACATCCTTTCATCTAATATATGAATGCCTTGAGTGATCCACTGGGAAGCGATTTAATTACTGGTGCAGTTTATTCCTGATAGTTGATGGTATTTACATAGATAAAATTACTACTGTCCTTTCTATTATTGTTAGTAATAAATAGCAGTCTTGTGTTGATTGGATTGGAACATTTTATGGGAAAAATAAAAAAGAAACATTGATTGCTTTATCCCCTCAGTGATAGTGCGACCACTCTTCCGAACAAACAATAGATGTTTTGGTGACCAATACTTATTTTCACAATTCATCTATTCACATAGTCCTGTTTCCAACTTTTGAAAATCCTGTAGAGGTAATCGATTTTTGAAAATAGGTTTTCAGATGTAAAAATCTGCGTATCGTTCAAATTGAATGTTATTTCCAGAGAATCACTTCATTCATTCTCTCGAAGTGCAGCAAGTTGAACAATCGTCACATTGTTTGACCGGGACATTCTTTTCTGGCAGTGGTTTGCTATGTTCTCTTTTATGCAGTTCCAAATTACAAAATGAATTGTATCTTGAGTTTCCTCAAACAGTTTGTAATGATCTAAAGTCTAGTACACGCACACACGAAGAATTACATGAAATTTCAAAACAAGCCAAAAACATCACCGATTTAGGAAGCTGTGTGCACTGTGTTGTGTTCGCACTGTTCAGTTTTTTGCGTGTGTTCGCAACCGCATTCACATAGGAATATTCTTTGTGAAAACGAGTCGGTTAGCGAACAGCTGCTTTTCGGATATTCCCAGTCGTGCTCTTGTATATCATATGGTGGAAATATTGCAGCCATCAGCTCAATTTAAGGTCATTGATCGGAATCAGAGAGAAGAGGATGTGTGTGTGTGTGCATGTGTGTGTGTGTGTGTGCATGTGTGTGTGTGTGTGTGTGTGTACAGGGGCGTTTACCGTGTCAGTTGATGTGACCTTTCTCCATTCGGGTCAAGGGACACATCTTGTTCTGCTTTGGTTTTCACGTTGGGTCAAGGCAATTGTGAAGTGCCTGAACCAGTCGTTTTGAGGCACACAGGTTTGGACAAACTTAGTGAATGGTGGTCACCTCGGTCATGTCCCAACTCGGGCCGTCTTCAGTCGGTTGAGTGGAATGCGATGAACAACATCGAAAGCTTTCTCCGATTCGATCTCGTGTGTCCGGTGTCTTTGAGATGACCCAAGAAACGCACCGGAGATACAACCGGTGCCCCCTGACTTAACCATCGCGGGTGGTGCTTCTTAAAGCGTTCAGATAAGCACCTTACCGTACTACCTATATCACATGCGCCACAGACGCACTTAAAAAGGAATAAATTAACATACATGAGGTCAGTTTCGGCAAATTGTTTTTTACTGGCACTGGCATCAACGGTGATGGAGAGAGCACAGCTCTAAGCTTCACTGCAGGAAAAGTGGAGTTTACTACCGTTATCAGTGACCCTACCATGGACTTTTGTGCACGTGAATCTCCTTTAAACGTAATTCTAAGTTCTTAGTTCTTTCTTGGGGTCTTCCTTTTACTGGGAGAGTTGAATATTCTTGTCAATAAACGTTTCCGGATAATCATTGTCCTGCAGCGTTTGACGGAAGAAGCGTACGTAGTTCTTTGTTCTCGCTGTAGTCTCGTGTTATCATCGAATTTGACCGTGAAGAAAGGAGATTTGGGCAAAGCACTCGCCAATGGGATTAACCAAAACAAATTAGATGCGTTTTTGTTCGATATAAAATACTTTTGATAGGATTCCTGTGCTATTTTGCACTTCAAATAAAGATGAAAATTCCTCGTGGTTATTAGCACAACTATGAGTTATCACAATAACTTAATTAATTTTCAAAGAGTTTGTGTTTGTGTTTTTTATCCCGGTTGCGAGGTATGGTATTGTGTGTGAGAGAGAAAAATACTTGTGGAAATATGGGGGAAGATTCCTCTCCGGTTCACTTGAATTTAAGCTGCTGCTGCTCCAAGAAAACTAATTTTGGAAATTATATATCGGATATGAAACTGTTTTTACTCTTATAATATCTTTTCATATAAGTTATTGGTTATCAGGATTTGTGTATTGCGCTCTTGAAAAGCACAAATAAATGCCTAAATCATGCAGCCATCCGCCTAATGGTATTGACAATCAGTCATGAGACCCAATTCGAACGTGCGCGGTTCGAGTCCGGGTGGGGTCATGCAAAATGATACGCATTGCGGATGAGTTTGAACAAGAATGAAACAGCTGTCGGCTGCCAAACATACAACATCATCAAGAAAAGAATGAGATTTTATGCAGTCGATGTTTAGAACTTCACCGGTGGTTAGAAGAAGCTGAGGCTTTGGCTCAGCTAGACAAACCGGTCGAACT